ATAGAAAAAAAAATCAAGTTTCTCAAATACTTATTCACCCACTCCATTCACGTAACATTAGACAAACATGTGCAATTTTGGACTACTACTCTGAAACAGAAAATAATTTTGGTACTGACACAACGTAATTAGATAACCTATGACCTTATCAGTTAACAGAACTGCATCAATGCATAAACAAACTTAGTTCACCGACTTTCTAACAAAAACTCCCAAATGTTGTACTCATTTAAAACACATGCTCCACATTCAATTTAGGTCATTTCTAAAATCTCTGCAGTATTCATTTACAGTCCACTTTCCTCATTATATAAAGAAAGAGATAATTACGGTCAGGTCTACACAGATCTTGTGCGCCACTAACATAGCACCTAAAATGTTCAAGATTAGGTCTGGAATTTTCAGCACATAATATAATGGTTTTATATCTTATTTCTCAAGCAAAATATCTTCCACTCATGGTAAAAAAATCCATTCATTATATATCACGTTTAATGACCTTGCCATATCCAAAAATAAATATAAAATGAAGTCAACTGAAAAAAAACAAGTAAGCAACAAGTCTATTAAATAATGCGTATAAACTATATAAACAAATTTATTTATTTATTTAGTGTTCTGTCTGACGACAGGTCCATATGAACAGGATCCTTCCATCCTTTTCTCGGACTGGGACCTGTTCATATACGTTCTTGGCAGATGATCCAAAAGTGGTTTGCCATAGCCTTCTTCTGTGTGTGAATGGAGTAATTGGTGGGATGCCACGGAGGAAAACTCCGTGTTGCCTAGACCACGGCCTTGCCCAACACAAGTTATAAATTCGGGCACCGCCGGGAATCGAACCCGAGACCCCCTCCAGGATTACAAGGCCAGCGTTCTATCCGCTAGACCACCGTGGCTGTATAAACAAATACCAACCAATAATAAAGCGTGTCCACAGGAAATCTCACCCATTAACAAACCAATCAAAGTGACTACGACGTATAGAAACACGCGGCTTGCGAAACTCGTAGAACAATTCGAAAAGTTTATTTTCTTTGTTCCAGGTCTTTTAGGCAATCAGTAGCGGCGCTGAATTCGATAATACACTAAATGACGTCTCCACAAGAGAGAGCTCAATGTGTAGTTTGGTTTTCGGAAACGAAATCGCCGATTACAGTTCAAAGAAGTTATAACCGTGTTTTTAAATAGGATCCACAACACAAGAAGACAATGAAGGCCTGGTATGAGAAGTTTCTGGCTACAGGGAGTGTCTTATGGCAGTCAGGTTCAGGCAAAAAACCGCACGTCTGGCGAAAAGGTGGAGCTTGTCATGGAAGCCTTTTTGAGAGAAGTCTGACAAAGTCGATTCGTACATCGTCACTTGAGCTCAACATCCCACGTTCAACATTTCATAAGGTGCTTCATAAACGACTTCATTTATATGCGTACAAAGTCCAAATTGTGCAAGCCTTCCAGCCAAATGACCGACCACGACAACAGTTCGCCATCGAGATGCTTGACCGTATTGATCAGAACCCTAATTACTTATGGAATGTGATGTTTTTAGACGAAGCAACCTTTCATACTTGTGGTAAAGTGAATCGCCACAACATACGCATCTAGGGATCAGAAAACCCACACAGTTTCGGGAACACGTCAGACACAGCAAGAAGGTCAATGTTTGGTGTGGGATGATAAAAGACAGAATTATCGGACCCTTTTTCTTCATTGAGCCAACTGTAACCGGAAACATTTACCTGGACATGCTTGAACAATCTGCCCTCCCTCAGTTTGTCTCAGTAACCCAATGCGATTTTATGGACTGATATCGAATATCGCTTAGATATCCTGAGAGCTACTAACGGAGCTCATGAGGAAGTGTACTAAGTAAAACTTTTTGAGTTACTCTACATAACGCCACAAATCACGCAGCTTCCCCCCCCCCAATTTAATCTGTTAATGGGGGAGAATTCATGTGGACACCCTGTATAACTCAGAAAAACAACAACAGAAGGTGCACAATAATTTCTAGGAAGGACAATCACACACTGACTCACTAATCAGACAAAAATAAACCAGAAAACACAACACAAAATTACAATTACAAACATAGTAGTAAGAAGCATCTTATGCAAAACATTAAAGAAACTAAGCACAGAAAACCAACTTTAACCAGTCACAAATATAACATCAAACTAAATTCATCAAAGTTTAACACAACACAATCACTTACTTAAAAGGCATAAATGGAACAAAAGTATGTACAAATGCACCAATGAAGCACGTAACATCACACATGTTCCATGGTCCCGATGTCCATTTACTGCGTGAGTTAATTACATTACAGAGACATTACTGAAATCTATATTTTATGTGATGTAACAGTCTTTTGAATGATGAAGTGTTTGTAAGAAAATCATTAATACTTGATTTGAGCTTTATGTACATTGAAATGATTCAAATCAAAACATTGTGTTCCGGTGCTTAACAAAGATCCTTCGCTCTCCAAAAACACAATAACTGAAATCTCTTTAGAAAGTCTGAAAATATACTGAATTTCCTCAAAATTAAAAAAGCACTTTTACTCAAAATTTAAAATTTCTGAAATCAGAGTGTATCTATAAATCAATAGCGTTTTTTTCCTGAAAACCTATTAATATATCAAGGGTGCATCTTACAATCTATGGCAGGGGTCTCCAACCTTTTTGTGCCTACGGGCACATTTGAGAGTTTATGAGATCGTGGCAGGCACCAACCAATTAACAAAGCCAAATTTTCTTTTCTCTGGACAAATTACAATTATTATTACTCAAGTGGGAAGTTAGTGTGATGTTTGGCACTGCATTTCATCGGCCAGTTTTTCAAATATGGGAGTGTAGGATGATGTTGCTGCCCGTAAACAATCGTCAAGTTGGGCGTCAGTAAGTCGAGATCTGCGCTTTGATTATATAATGTTCGTGGTTGAACGGCCTTCATTATTCAATATAACCTCTTTCCGTAACAACACGGGCACCCAAAAAGGCCTTGGCGGGCGCCATGGCGCCCGCGGGCACCGCGTTGGGGACCACTGATCTATGGTATATTAAAATTAAGGAACTATGGTAACATGCAGATGGACAAAAATTACTACCCCTACATGTGTTCATTCAACGCTACATAGTCTGAGCTACAGAAAAAGCATTGTTAAATAAACTATAAATAATAAACATGTGTTCACTCTGTACGAAGAACACATTTGGCGGAAATCAAATCTGCTCTGTAGCAAGTAACTACGCTGACTTATCAGAGGTTCCAATAAAATTACCAGGGCTATTTGAAAAGCACAAATTGGAGAAACAAAATCACTGTATTTTACAAATAACGCAACAAGCCAGAGCACCCCCTCCCCCTGCCAACCTGTCTAGACACTTACCACTGAATCTCATACTGAGCTGGTTCAATCCCTTTGCGACATAACACATCATTTGTTTCGAGGAGAGACCGTTAATCCATGCCCAACCTCAAGCTATAAGATCAGCCTTTGTCAGTGACTGTTTATTCTCCTCTATTTGTAACATCGAGAATTGCGCCATGCTGCACATAACACAGACATGATCAAATGCTGTCATAAAAATTAATGTTATTTCCATTTTCAGTTCATGCCTGCAGGACTTCTGCTCCGAACAGTTTACTCAGACAATTCACAATAAGTCAAGGCCAACGGAATGTTTCTGCATCAAATGTATTTGCTATTAGAACACAGCGGATCAAGCAAGACCAGCATAATATAAGCTACTTTCTGTTTATTTTAAAAAGTAACTTTAAAAATAAGATTTGGGGTTTTCACAGCGGTGAGGATGAAGATTTCTGTCTTCTGGGTTGTTGCGCTGTGTAGTCTGGTCAATGTTTAACATCGACCAGACTACACAGCGCAACAACCCAGAAGACAGAAATCTTCATAACTTTAAAAGATTTATCACCTTGTTGGCACTCTGAAAACACATACATTTCACATATAGTTTATATGCTTATAATATCCCACTATATAAAATGTTCACACATTTGGCTACTACTGTTCATTAGAACACTTCCAGCCACCAAATTAATTTTCTTAAGATATTCATTCTTTAAACGTCCTGCACTAAATATTGATACGGTTGCCACTACTTCAAAATTTATATAATCACTGTGCTGGAATCAGTGACTCAGTAACAGTATCAGAAGTCCTGGACATTTGTGAAGAACTGACGACATCAGTCTCTCCAGTTTTTGCAGTATGGAAGTGTGTGGTTGGTTATCGGGGTTGAGCCCAGACTCTTAGGCAAGGCATGGATAATCCCATCATATGTCTTAATAACCGGGGCAATTATATTGAAAAATAGTACAAATATGTACCATGATTTTCATCTAATAAGATAACAAAGTCCTCTCACAAAAAAATGTACATTACTTTTTGGACTCCTTGTAATAAGTATCTCTACTAAACCTGATTTTGTGCAACAGTCTGGCCCTAATACACTTATTCTGATCACTAACACTAATGTCAGTATAATCTTTTCATAATGAAAAATTCATAAATAGTGAAGACGTACAGAATACTTTTTTAATTAAGTCTC